AGCACGCATGGCCGGCGGCGGGGACCGAGAGGCCGCCCTGCCGCTCGCCGCGGGCCGGGTCGCGGCCCTCGAGATCGAGCCCCCGCCAGCGCCGGCGCCCGGGGGGCCCCCGCGTCGCGCGCCGCGGGCGGCCCTCGCGGTGATGGCGGCGCTGCTGGCCCTGGGCGCCGCGAGCGTAGCGGTGGGCCACGGCTGCGCGTCCTCACAGCCTTGGCGCCGTCATCACCGGGAGTCCTGGCGCGTCGCGCTCCTCGGCCCCGCGGCGGCGCTGCCCTACGCCGCGCTGGCGGCCTGGGGCGCCTGGGCGCGCCTCGGCCTCTGGGCGGGCGCGCCGCTGCACCGGTGGACGGCGGCCTACGCGGCGGGCGCGGCCGCGGCCGCGGCGCTGCTCGCCTCGCGCCCGTGGGTTTCCCAGTGTACGGCTTCCCATGCCGATGCCGTCCACTGCGCGTCCTGCCTCGCGGTCCTGTTCGCGCTGAAGACCGTGACCCAGGCCCTCGTCGCGCTGAAGCTCGAGGAGCTCCAGCAGGCGCGCCTGGCGCGGGCCGTCCGCGCCCTCGCAGCCTTGGCCCTACTGGCCGGGGCGCTGGCGGTGGCGGCGATGGTCTGTCAGACAGCGTGGGATCCGTCGGGAGCCGGTGGGTTTTGGTGGAGGTGGTATGACCGCGGGCTCGGGTGCTGTGCGGCCTGCCACGCCCTGGCCTGCCTCTGCGGCGTCGGGGGTCTCCTGGGCGCCGCGGCGCGGGCCCTCCTCGGCGGCAGGGGCGGCTCGCAGCGGCGCGCGGGCTGCTTCGTGCTGCTGACGGCCGGCAGCCTGGCGACCTCGTTCGCGACCTTTTTCGCCTTGCTGAATTATGTTGATAGCGTAGCATCAATCTACAAGACCACAGCAGTCGACGGGCTGTTCGATTGCTGCACCGTGGCGCTCTTCTCCGGCCTCGTCGGGCCGGCGTTCGTGCGGGTGCTCGCGAGGGAGGCGTTCTCCGCGATCAACTCGTACACGGAGTCCCAGCTCCAGGAGTTCTACGAGAAGTATTTGGAGTACTTGGACAGGGCGCATATCAGATGGGTGCGTTGCGGCTACCTGAGGCACCTGGCCGCGGCCGGCGTTGTCATGCCCCGGTGCCAGGAGGTGCCGGGCGACCAGGTCTTCGTCGGCAGCAGGGGCTTTCCGCTGGTGCACGCAGCACCGAAGGAGAGGCTCGTCGTCTCGCACCCGTGGCTCGCAAAGGATCGGGCCGGACGAAAGGGGGGGATTGGGAAAGAGGGGGTTACGAAATTTGCTGCATGCAGCTGGTTTCCGCCTCACCGAGGGGCCCATTGCTCTATACATAGCCGCCTCCGGCGCTGGGAGGCGCCGGGAAAATCAGCTACGCGAGCTGATTCTCAAACCCCCTCTTTGCTATCCCCCCCTTTCGCCCGACCCGAAAGGAGCACCCGGACCCGACCGGGGAGAAGCTGCGGCTGCTGGTCCGTCAGCTGGACATGCTCCATGCTTCCGACGACCACGCAGGCCCGCCTGGCACAGAACCCCCTCCTTAAATGTAGCCACGCGCGGGCACAGAACCCTCTCCCTGCGGCGTTCTGCGGGTGCAGAGCCCCCCTCCTTGCGGCCCATTGCGGATGCAGAACCCCCTCCGTCTGGCCCTGAGCGCTCTGAAGATCCAGGATCCCCTTCGACTAGCGCTCTGAGTTGGCACGAGGGCCCGGTCTATCATCTCTGGGGGCGCCCTCGTCGCAGCGGCTGGAGTCCCCTCGACATACTGGTCAGGTCGGTCCAGTAGCGCCGCCGCGGCTTCCGCCACGCTTTCAGGCCTGTCCGACAGGCGTCGTTTCGGCTGCTCCTCGCGACGGCCGTGTCCGGGGGCGGTTTGCAGACGTCATGGGCTGTCCCTGGAACGTTTCTCCGGGACCAGGGCGGCGGAGGCGGAGTGAGGTTCGGGGGGGCGTTTCGTGGATTTCAGTTTTGGTGATTCATTGGCTTACGCCACACCGCCGACCCCTTGGGCGGCAGCAATCGTTCCCCTTGTGGCCTGTCCGGGCAGCCCGTGAGGCCCCTCTAGACACGTTTTGGAGCCCTCTTAGGACCGTCCTGCCGTTCCCCCGGGCCGTTGCTATTCAGGAAGGGAAAAAACACACAGACACAATGAATCGTCGATTCCAAGGAACATATGGGAAAATATGAGAAGTGGGGGGAAGACACAAATCCAGAAAATATGCGAAAATATGGGGAATCTTGTTATTTGCATGTATTTGTTTGTGTGTCCCGGGGCCCTTCAGCTATAGTTTCTGGGGCCTTCGTGGATCGCCCGGAAGCCGTCGTGGAGCTTTCTGGAGAGTCTCTTCGGGTGCCAGAGGTCGATCGTGGAGGTTTACTGGGCCGTTGTGGGCCTCGTGAAGGCCCAAGAAACGAATGTGCTGAACACGTACGTTTTACCTGGGGAGTGGGGCGGTTTTTGCTTCTGGAGGCCTGCTTGGAGCGCCTCATGGTCGCGCATGCAAACATCTTGGACGTCCATGGGGCTGTCTGGAGGTAATCTTGGGCGGTTTGGACCGAATCGTCCCCCGCGTGGGCCGTCCGGACAGCCTTTGGGAGCCCTCTTGGCCCGTGTTGGAGCTCTCTTGTGACCGTCCTGCGGCTTTCCGGGGCCGTTGCTATGGTTTCTGGAGCTTTCGCGGATCGCTCAGACGCCATCTTGGAGCCTTCTTGGGAGCTTCTTCGGGTGACTGGGGTCGATCTTGGAGGTTTATTGGGCCGTTGTGCGCCGCGTGAATGCCCAAGACGCGAATGTGTTGAACATGTACGTTTGACCTTGGAAATGGGACGGTTTTTGCTTGTGGAGGCCTTCTTGGAGCGCTCGTGGTCGCGTTTCAAACGTCTTGGACACTCATGGGGCCGTCTAGCGGCGATCTTGGGCGGTTTGGACCGAATCGTCCCCTGCGCGGGCCGTCCAGACAGCCTTTGGGGGCCCTCTTGCCTCGTTTTGGAGCCCTCTTGGGACCGCCCTGCGGCTTTCCTAAGCCGTTGCTATGGTTTCTGGGGCCTTCGTGCATCGCCCGGACGCCGTCTTGGAACCTTTTTGGGAGCCTCTTGGGCTGGCGAGGCTTCTTGGAGGCTTCTTGGGCCATTTTGCGCCGCGTGGAAGCCGACTGGGCGAATGTGGTGAAAATGCATGTTTTTCTTAGGGAATGGGACGGTTTTTGCTTCTGGAGGGCTTCTTTGGGGCGCCACGTAATATTGTTTCAAACGTCTTGGGGACTTATGGAGCCGTGTGGAGGCAATCTTCGGCGTTTTGGGGCGATCTTTCGTCGTATCGTAGCTCTCTTGGACCATTCTGGGAGCCTTTGGAACCTTTTGGCCCGTTTGGGGGCCTCCTGAGGCTCCAAGTGTGCGGATGATGGATTTATGGGACGGTTTTTGCTTCTGGAGGCCTTCTTGGAGCGCCTCGTGGTCGCGTTTTCAAACATCTTGGACACCCATAGGGCCGTCTGGCGGCGATCTTGGGCGGTTTGGACCGAATCGTCCTCCGAGTGGGCCGTCCAGACAGCCTTTGGGGGCCCTCTTGCCTCGTTTTGGAGCCCTCTTGGGACCGTCCTGCGGCTTCCCTAACCCGTTGCTATGGTTTCTGGGGCCTTCGTGGATCGCTCAGACGCCATCTTGGAGCCTTTTTGGGAGCCTCTTGAGCTGGCGAGGGTCGATCTTGAAGGCTTTTTGGGCCATTTTGCGCCGCGTGGAAGCCGACTGGGCGAATGTGGTGAAAATGCACGTTTTCCCTAGGGAATGGGACGGTTTTTGCTTCTGGAGGGCCTCTTTGGGGCGCCTTGTAATTTCGTTTCAAACGTCTTGGGGACTTATGGAGCCGTGTGGAGGCAATCTTCGGCGTTTTGGGGCGATCTTTCGTCGATCCGTAGCTCTCTTGGTCCGTTCTCGGAACCTTTGGAACCTTTTTGGCCCGTTCTGGGGCCTCCTGAGCTCCAAGTGTGCGGATGATGGATTTGCCCCCCCCCCCCCCCCCCCCCA